CGCATATGTCAATAGATTTGGACTTCTTCCTACTAAGGAATCTGCCAACAACACAAATGATAACACACAAACACGGTTACTAAGAAAAGAGATTATAAGGGAAAGTAGTAAGGGAATATAGCAAACTCACTGTTTTGAAATCTCTTCTTTTCTTCTGCGAATTTTCTCCAAGACAGATGAAATCGGCTTTCGGACAAGAGGGGCTGCTTCAAAGGCAGCATCTCTCGTTTCTATCATGAAAAGAAAAACACAAACAATTTTCAGTTCCCTGCAAAACGTTGAAATGAGCACTGAAGAGTGTTTTGAGAGTATCATACCTCGCAAGAGTCTCTGGTTTTCTGCACGAAGCTGATCAAGATATTCCCTTCTTTCCTACAGACGAACGAAGAACAGTAACACCAATTAAACACAGGAGAAGGAAACACACAAACGAATAATGTTAACTCAAAATGAAACTAGTAAGAAATAGAGAGAGCTACCTTCTTAGTCATGTTCATGGAAGCAGTAGAGACTGGCAGCTCATCAAAGTCATCACTCTTCTTCTTCCTCTTCTTATCTCTCTTTCTCTCCTTTCCCTCTCCATCACGTGTCTCCACAATTGGTCGCTTCTTTCCAGCTTCCTTCGTTTCCGGAACCCTAATTTCCTCTTCGTCTTCACCTTTCTCACCCAATTCCTCCATTGGGGAATCAAATTCATGCACACTCGTCTCGAAATCCGGATCCTCCTTTTCAGATTCCGTCGTTTCAGAAACCCTAATTTCATCTCTTGTTTCCGAATCAGAGATTTCGCTTCCACTTTTCTCGCCCAGATCTTCGATCGTCTGATTAAACTCAGGCACATAATCAAAATCAAGTACCTTCCTCGCGGTAACTCCATCCTCTACACCCAAACCGTCGAGATCAGATGGAACCCCATCTTCTTCCTCAATCCCATCGCAACCCTTCGCAGACTGCAATTCAGACTTACCCAGATCCTCGCCGTCGGGGTTTTCGGAATCGAAGGTTTCAGATCCAGGACATGAATCGGAGATCAATTTAGCTTTCTTCAATCGTCTTAGCATCCTGTTAGGAACTGGGACACTCGATTCTCCAATAGGAGAAAGCTGATCATCGTTCATCATCTTCGATTGTAATCGCCGGACAAAATTGGAGAGAATCTTACGGTGCCCAATGTTTCTGTTCGTTTGGAAGAAGACAAGTCAGTGCCAAAAGGGTGAAAATGAATAATTTGCTTGAGGATTTACGCGCCAAACAATTCGAATTTTGGCGCCTCTATTTTACGTTGAAAAAAAAAGGTGAGCTTTCTTCGCTATGCAATTCCGTCAAAAACAAAAATTAGAAACTAAGATTAAAAATATATATATGCAATATGATAGGGGATAATTGTTTCGTTAATTTACAATTTTGTAAAAATATCGTTAAATGATTATTTATACCATTATGATTCAAATATAAAAGCTAAAGCCATTTTGAATAAATCATAATTTCGAACACGGATAATTGATGATATAATAACAAATTTAGCACATATTACTAATATCGTTTGATTTATAGCACATAAAAATTTAAACTTGTATAATATGTGTTGCTGACTATAAACAAAAAAACAATAACAACTAGAGCTAATTGCGTAGGAGACTCGGTTACACAGTTGGTCTCCCACCTAACCACTCCGATTGTATATATTAGATATGATTCCTCGAGTACTACTACTATAAGTGTTCCACGTATATATGTAGTACACGACCACAATGTAACGTATCCAAATATTCGTATGCAAATTAATATACATATTTTGTCAACGTTTTATAGATATTTCTAAGTGTAAATCCATGATTATGTCACATCAGTATATATAAGATTATATAAATTACACATAGAGAGATGAGATAGATTAGATGGATCCTCCTGAAATCGTGTTCTCACGATAGCTACGAGCAAGGAGCACCCTAGTTAATAAGAGCCGGCTAACAGAAAATTGAGAAGAAAAAAACAAGAATAGTTTTTTTTTTTTCGTAGTTAATCCTCATGATTCTCTAAAATCTATCGATCTCTCTCCCGTAATAAAATTTCGGAGAAAGAGGAAAACCCTAATCCCCTCTTTCTCTCGGATCATCAACAAGAAAAAAAAAAAAAAATATAAATGAAAATGAGGAAGCTTTGTCCAAATTTGGACAGAGAAGACGGGTTAGAGACGGTGTTAGAGGTTCCGGTGCCGGAAGAAATGTTTACAAAGATGGGAAGCAACGCCCAAGGGCGGTGGAGGAATATGCACGCTCTCATGAAGGCACACGCCGTTGTGACCGCGGTGGCGACTGATGTAAGAACGCCGGCGTCATCGTCATCGATGAGTAATGTCAACATGCATTTGCAGTCAAAATCAGACAACGAGTTTGTGGCCTTGTTGAAAATCGTAGGAAGTCCTCTTATTCCTTTTCATGTCCCGCTCGAGTTTTGTCTATCCCGACCAATCAACGACACTTCCATCGTACGTATCTTATCATTAATTCAATCTATTGATTTTTGTTTAACCTTTTGATGAAGTGGGGTTATAGGTTAGAATTCAAGTCTTTCACTTGCAGTTTTAATTTTGGTTCGTTATTCTTAATGTTTTGAATGGCACAATTTTCAATGATTCTATAAACCATGGGAGGATTAGAAGACTACTAAAATTTTCCAATTTCAAAAAGAGAAAAATGTATAGAGATGGAATGTGTAGCGATTATTAGCCCTCAATTTCTTTATGAGATAACAAATAGTTCTTTTTTTTTTTATCAAAACAAATAGTTCAAAAATAAAAAAAGTTTTATAGGATAAACATTTTATCTTCTTTTTTTTGTTCGTATGAAACAAGTTATCATACAATTTACGTTCGTCTAAGTAGAAAGCAAACCTATTATGTGGAATGTTGATAGTAATGGTGTATTTGAAGGAGGCGTCGACGGCTAAATACATAGTGCAACAGTACGTGGCAGCGTGCGGAGGTCCAGCGGCTTTGAACGCAGTGAAAAGTATGTACGCGGTGGGGCAAGTAAGGATGCAAGGCTCCGAGATGGTTGCTGGAGAGGACGAAGGGACGGGTACGCCGGTGCGACTTGGTAAAGGCAGTTTCGAGGTCGGAGGTTTTGTTTTATGGCAAAAGAATCCAAATCTTTGGTTCTTGGAGCTAGTGGTTTCCGGTTTCAAGATTAGCGCTGGTAGTGACGGCAAAGTGGCTTGGAACCAATCCTCTACTCAACCTTCTCAGGCCCACCGTGGTCCTCCTCGTCCTCTCCGCCGATTTTTTCAGGTGCCCATGCATTTTTAACCTTTCAATGCATATTATCGACTATTTTACGATTAAACTTAACAAAAATGACAAAATTTGTAGTATAGTGGTTTTGATCGCCCTATCATATTCCATGTTCAAACATGGGAGCACTCTTGTGAGTTATAAACTTATAAAGTACTAATTTAGTAGTAAATTAGAACTAAGCCAGAGAGGAAACCAGTCAAAATGTTCATAACACCATTAAAAAAATAAATCCTAGCAATGATATACACCAAGAAATACAAAATTTTGATTGTTAGCAAATTTTAATTGTTACAAAATTGTTATTAGCAAATTTTGATTAACATTGTTACAAAATCTCGATTGCTAATAAATCCTATCTCATATTATTAGCAATTTTTGCCTTAAAAAAATATAAACTTACCATGACTAAAGATTGACCTTTTGACATTTTTCATCTGTTGAATGACGTGGCAGGGACTAGACCCGAGATGCACAGCGAGTTTGTTCTTAGACGCCGTTTGCATCGGTGAACAACCCGTTAACGGTGAAGACTGTTTCGTCTTAAAAGTAGAAACACCGTCAGATATTCTCAAAGCACAATGCTCACCAAACACGGAGGTGATCCACCACACGGTATGGGGTTACTTCAGCCAACGAACCGGACTTCTCGTAAAGTTCGGTGACACAAAACTCGTGAGAGTCAAATCCGGAAGAGGCAAAAACGACGGCGTTTTTTGGGAGACAAGTATGGAGTCCATCATCGACGATTACATATTCGTTGACGCAGTCAACATTGCTCATGGTGGTCAAACCGTGACCACACTCTACCGCTACGGTGGAGCTGTTAATCACCGGAGAAGAATAGAGGAGAAATGGCGTATCGAGGAGGTGGATTTCAATATTTGTGGATTGTGTTTGGAGAGCTTTTTACCACCGTCGGATATCAACAATGATCATTAGGCACGATGGAGAAATCGTTACAATAGTCTATCTTTTTCTTCTAGATGGTTTTTTTTTTTGTTGAGGTTTAAATAGGTCTCTTATACACACCTACCGTGGATTTGTAACAAAAGGAGTAAATATGTAATTTTGAGATGGTGGTGTACTGTAAACTAATGTTTTAAATATATTTCAATTGTCATTAGCACTTTCGTTTTTATTTATTTTTGTGACTCAATTGGAAATTTCCATAATGATTTTATGAGTTTCATTAGTTCAAAATTTTTTTTGAAAAAATAATCCCAATGGACCAACCGAAAATGGGCCAATCATTTCACTACATAGCCCACTAAGATAATACCGACGTAAGTCCGTTAAGAGGGAAACCCTAGATTGCGAGATAACAAAAACATGCTCCGCTATATAAATCCTGACAAATCTCAATTCATAAACAACAACCGATCTATTCCTCCGCAGTTATTCTTCTTCGTTTGCATCGCCTCTGGTATCTAGAATTTGTTCGAATATCGATTGAATCTTGTAGTTTGTTATGCTCTGTTTTGGTTTTGATTTCGATTTTGATTGGGTTTAGTAGATGCATCTGTTTGATTTACCCACTCCTCTATTACTTGTAGAGTAAAAATCACAAAGTATGGTAGAGGAGTTAGAACGGATGCTTATATCGAATTAGGTTATCTTACCAACCCATTGCTTTTTTCTGTAGCTTTGGCGTCAAATGAATCGACCTATATTGTTTTAGTTTCTTCTTGTTTTTTAATTTTTGATTATTGGCAAATGAAGAATTGATTAATTTATGCTTAACCACTGATGAACAGTGTTGACAAAACATCTCCGCTTATTATCTGATGCCATAATTCGAATCTTAGTTTTTTTTTGTTGTTGTTGTTTATCAAAACAATGATGAGATATTAGCAGACGGGCGGTCTGAATTGATGCCGTGTAGATTGTCTGCCATCGCTACTATGTAGCTTCTCTGAGTATTTGATCTTATTACATTTTCTCTTTGGTTGCGATGATGATGTTGCTAATATATATGTCTGGACTTATGAGATTATTCAATCTTTGAAATGATTGTGCAACCTTCTGAGCTTACTATCAATATTAAGAACCTGTTTTTTTATATCATGTATTAGCAACCATCAAAAGATCGGAAGTTTAATATTTGCAGGTATTGGTAGGATTTTATGTTGAATGACACCTTCTTTTCAATCAAAATTTCAACCAATCCTTCCAATTACTTGACAACCATTTCTATAACACAATGGAGATTGCGGAATTCTTGAAATTATCTGAAAATTGGGACATGTCGGTTTCATTGTAAACTATTGACTTAGAACTTTAGGAATCCTCGTGTTAACTACAAAAGAAAGTCGCAACACCTCCTTCCAACCTTTATTGTCGTTAAATAAGTTGCATTCGAGTTTTGCCAGATTGTAGTATTTTAAAGGGGTCGTACTTCTCAAGATTTGGAGGAAAGGTGTTTTCGACTCTTTCGATTCATCGTTGTGCACAGCGTGTCTTCATGGCCATGGTTTAGATGTCGCTTTAGATTGTTTCTCTTCAAACTCCAGTTGAATGTTAAGAGATAGTTTGGAATGTAATAATTTAGTTTTCTATTGTAAGTTGTGTTTATCTTTCGTACCTTCCATTTGTTGTAATCGCATATTTCTCATAGTGTATAAGACCGTCCCCAAAGGTTAAGAATCCATTGGTTCTTAATCTTGTATCTTAACAATTACTTAAACTAAAAAGCAAATCTTAGTTTTTAAAATTTTTTCAAAATTTTAGTTTTACTTAAGAATCTAGTATTTTTTTCATTCATAAAAACTTTTTAGCTAAGAAGCAAATCTTAGTTTTTAATCTGTTTTGATTTATTTTTCAAAATTTATTTTTTAGATATTAGCCAAAGATACATCTAAATACACCAATAGTGGTGCTCTAAATAATCATATAATTGTGGCCATACCAATATTTATGTGTGAATTGGACTTGGATAGATTTCGAAATAAACATGTATTTTTGATTCCTTGGGCCTTGCTTTCAAAATTCTATGGCCTCTAAGGCAATTGACACGTGGAGTATGCAGAATCAAGTATACGTGAATCTCACGTGGCGTGCCGTACCGTTCAGTTACCTTAAAATATAATTTTAATCGCTGTCTCTGTTGTTGTCCACTTGTCTGAACTGCAAGCGTTAGGTGAATGTCTTTACTTTTCTTCTCGCAACTCTTTTCATGAAATCAGTTTCAACTTTTCTTCAGCTGACTCTTCTCCGACTTGTCTCATCACTGCAAAGTTCTCTCTTTATTCCTCGTTCTCTGTTTCGGTACTACCCTCGTTCTTCTTTTTAAAGTTTGGGTCTTTCATTTGATTTCATACTCTTGATTTTTATTTTACATCTGACGACTAGAAAAGTAGGTAGATTATGAATCTTTCTGGGTTTGTAGTGAGTTTATAGGAAATTCCTTTGTCTAGTGTTCCAAAATTTGAGTAGATCTTGAACAACTTTGCAAATCTTGTTGATCGATCTGTTTGGGAATTGAAAATTTACTAGATTTTGAATTTCTGAGGTTTTGTGTAAGCAGTTGAATGAAGCAGTAGGTGGTTGAGTCATGTTTGGTCTGTGATGTCCTGTCACACGCATCACATGAACCTTGGCTTTGGATTTAACGGCCGTTGTTAGTATTAGGCTAATTATTAACATGGCTTTTGTTCATTGTAGTTAATTTTCACAGAGTAAAGAGATTTTGATACATTGGACCCAAAGTGCAATTTTCAAAAATGTTTCGCTGGAAGAATTCTTCTCAAACCGAACAAGAGCATAAAGAGGCAGCTCTCAGAGAGGCAAAGGTCAAATATTTCAAGGCCTTGTTGATGATTTTCATTTCACTTAATTACCTAGTTGATTCGTAGAAGCTATAATGCCTTCTGATTTTTATGATTATAGATGAAAGAGCTTAAGACTCTCATAGGTCAGCTTTCTGGAAGGAATTCACTGTATTGTTCAGATGCATGTCTGAAGAGATATCTGGAAGCTAGGAATTGGAATGTAGGCAAAGCCAAGAAGATGCTCGAGGAGACGCTCAAATGGAGATCGAGTTTTAAACCCGAGGAAATCCGATGGGTATGTATCATAAGTGCATCATGCTACTAAATCTTAGAGAATTCCTATCCAACCAAAACTTATAATTCTTGGTTTCTATTAGAATGAAGTTTCAGGTGAAGGTGAGACTGGTAAGGTTTACAAAGCTGGATTCCATGACAGGCATGGAAGAACGGTTCTTATACTGAGACCCGGCTTGCAGGTTTCTATTCATCATTTTTCTTAGTTAATGAGTTAACTTCAGGTCACAAGCTGAAACTTCCATTTTCATTGACAACTTTTGTAGAACACAAAATCGTTGGAGAACCAGATGAAACATCTGGTGTATCTCATTGAGAATGCTATTCTGAATCTGCCAGAGGATCAAGAACAGATGTCTTGGCTTATTGACTTCACGGGTTGGTCAATGAGCACTAGTGTGCCTATTAAATCTGCCAGAGAAACTATTAATATTCTGCAAAATCACTACCCTGAGAGACTAGCTGTAGCTTTCCTCTATAATCCTCCAAGACTCTTTGAGGCGTTCTGGAAGGTTAGACAAAACAATACTTCTATCTCATAGTTAGACAACAAGACAACTTTGTTTGTGTTTTGTTCGTCTGTATGTGCAGGAACATGATGGCATTTTCATTTTTTCTTTAATTATGTGTTGTTCCACAGATTGTGAAGTACTTCATTGATGCAAAGACATTCGTCAAGGTGAAGTTTGTTTACCCAAAGAACTCGGAAAGCGTGGAGCTTATGAGCACATTTTTCGACGAGGAAAATCTCCCAACCGAATTTGGAGGGAAAGCTTTGTTGCAGTATAACTATGAAGAGTTCTCCAAGCAAATGAACCAAGACGATGTTAAAACTGCTAACTTTTGGGGATTGGGTCACAGTAACAATAACCAGCTGCACGCGAGCAACGGGTTTTCTGGAGCTGAGATTGCCCCTGAGCCAATCCAAAACCACCCTTGACTGGTTCTGAAGGCAATGTATTATTAAAACCAACCCTTTTGAAATGGACTAACCTTAGCTCTTGATGCTAAGTAGAGAGGTTGTATGATTTAGACATAGCATTTGATTAAAATAAAGAGGGTTTGTGTGTATTAGTAACTCTTGCAAGGCTTGTAAGTGAATCCAAAAACTCTTTACACTCATAAGCATTTTATTTACAGGAAGCAGAAAACAAGATTCGCATTACCAGCAACAAGCTTTGTTTCTTTCAATCTGAATCTCACCAAACACAAGAAGGGAAAATGATTTCTTTCAAAATTTGAAGGCACAAAGAGATTAAAAAGTACATAAAACAAAAATTATACTACACAGCAGTATTAGCTTAGACTATATAGCTTAGAGTTCTGCAGTCAAAAGTGATGTGCAACGGATTGGAGTTAGAGGGAGAGAGTAGATGAAGCTTGAGGCAATTTGAATGAAACTAGATAATCCTCCTTCTGAAGTTTCTGGTGGTCGATTGATAGGTACGCACCAGAAGGCCAACCCCAATGCCAAGACCTACACAGACACCAAGACCAATTCCCACACCAACCCTCACACCAGCGTTGAACCACGACATCTCACCATCTTCACCATCTGCGTACTCTCTATTCCAGTACATGTCGCTGTGTTCTCCTTCATATTCTTGTTTATAACTTCCATATTCAGTAACCTGCACAGAAATTAACTCCCATACTTAACAAAGAAAAATAATTAAGAGACATTCATAGCGATAGTCAGAGAAAGAATACAATCGTCATGCAATTACGCTAATGGTCTTTTTGTTCCAATCTTATAAACTCTTTCAAATGTAGAATAGAGGCTAATGGTCGAAGATATAGACATTGCACTATAGTTAAATAATCTACGGTGAGTATGAAGATCTATCTCCAATAGGTATTGACACTGTCAACTGCAAGAGCCTCCAATTAAAACTTCAAGCATAAGCTATTCTTAACATTGACTCTTAAACAGGGCAACGTTTCCTAAATCAGTCTATGCATAAATTAAAGATAATATACTGTAGCATTACATGTGAAAACCACGATATTCCAACCAATAAGTCACCTTAGAACTGACTGTAGCAGGCAAAAGGATAAGAATTCAGATATTAAGATCACAAGACAAGAGGCAAATGGGAGAGAGAGAGTGTGTGAGAGTGAGAGTGAGAGATAGAGAGAGAGAGGGCGAGAGCTATCTATTGACTTGTAAAATGTGGCTGGCCCCATACCTCACATGGTCATTTATAACGAAGTTGGTCCACTTCAATATCTAAAGGAATTATCTTCCTTAGAGTACCAACTACCAAGAAACATGTCTCAAAGACTCAAACTATGAAATCTCAAAACCATGAAAAACTTAATGCTCATACAGCCAATAGTGACCATGAAGACTCATATCTTAGGAAAAGCATTCAAAGCATTCAATCAATATAAAACTATTCGGAAGCATTATAATAATCTTGAAAAAATGAAGTACCAAGCAATTAAAAGTTACCTGATAATCAAGCTCAGATGAGTTTCCTTTATGAGGCTCATCAGTTTCATACTCGGGAATCGAATCTAATGCAGTCACTCTACCGTGCTTCTTTCTGAAACCAAGCTGTAGAGTCTTCGTTAGGATGATAGGAGTTCCAGAAAAGCAGCCAGTGACATAGACTTCAATAGTTGGCAATGGAGAAGATAACTCCGAACCACCAATATGTTTCTCCTTCAAGAAACCAGACCCTGCAGTGATCTCAGCTTCACAATTCATGTTCCACCGCTTCACGCT